CTGTGGATGGACACTCCCGACAGAGTGGACTTGTGGCTGGACACTCCCGACAGAGCAGATACTGTGGATGGACACTCCTGACAGAGCGGACCTGTGGCTGGACACTCCCGACAGAGCAGATACTGTGGATGGACACTCCTGACAGAGCGGACCTGTGGCTCGACACTCCCAACAGAGCAGATCCTGTGGAAGGACACTCCTGACAGAGCGGATCCTGTGGCTGGACACTCCCAACAGAGCGGATCCTGTGGATGGACACTCCCGACAGAGAGGACCTATGGATGGACACTCCCAATGGAGCGGACCTGTGGCTGGACACTCCCGACAGAGCAGATACTGTAGATGGACACTCCTGACAGAGCGGATCTGTGGATGGACACTCCCAACAGAGCAGATCCTGTGGATGGACACTCCCAACAGAGCAGATCCTGTGGATGGACACTCCTGACAGAGTGGATACTGTAGAAGGACACTCCCAACAGAGCAGACCTGTGGCTGGACACTCCTGACAGAGTGGATACTGTAGAAGGACACTCCCAACAGAGCGGACCTGTGGCTGGACACTCCCGACAGAGCAGATACTGTGGCTGGACACTCCCGACAGAGCAGACACTGTGGCTGGACACGCACGACAGAGTGGATACTGTGACTGGACACGCACGACAGAGTGGATACTGTGGATGGACACTCCCGACAGAGTGGATACTGTGATGGACACTCCCGACAGAGTGGATACTGTGGATGGACACTCCCGACAGAGTGGATACTGTGGATGGACACTCCCGACAGAGTGGATACTGTGATGGACACTCCCGACAGAGTGGATACTGTGGCTGGACACTCCCGACAGAGCGGATACTGTGGATGGACACTCCCAACATTTGGTGTCAGTGGGCAACACAGCAAAAGCCAAAAAAGGTTAGAGATAAGATTTCCTCCTTTGAAAAAAGAGGCAGAAGGCAGAGTACCAGAAACAATAATGTGACGTCATGGAGCTTGAAAGCTTCCAGACAGATCACCCAGCATGTGTGAACACTTTGAGAAGAAATGGGTTTCACAGAGTGAGACGGAGACAGAGACAGCCGGGAAGTGACCACATAGGCTAGAAAAGTTATCGTGGTCGCCTAAATTAGCGGACTTATGGTCGGAATGGAGAATAGAGAGAGGGATTTAGGATCTCTGATTTGTTCTGGAGAAAGGAAAATGGCAGCAGAGGACAGTGAGGGAGTCTCCAGGGTTTTACTTCGTCTGATTAAGTGGAGGATGAAATCAGGAGGGAAAGATAATCAGACTTACGCCGATCTCCACCTCGAAGTCTCAGAACATTGCCTGGCACACTCGTTAAGTGTCTCGTTATTTAATCCTACATCAGAACTGAGTGTACAGACTGTAGGAAATCAGCAATGGGGCTGATTAGGATACAAATTCATGAGCATTAATTGAACTGAGTTTTGTTTCCTTTAATCACCAAGTGTTCAAAAGTAAATGACTTTTTTCCCAATAATCGATACGTGTCTGTGATCAATAAACTCTGCTGGGGTGGTTAGAGATACATTAAGTATGTGTAGTGCAATAAATAGCCTTTATAAAGCCGTCATGCTTTATGCATCACTGCCACATTTAGTAGCCATGTTCCCCCTCACAATAATGCTCTGAGTTAACTGCACGGCCGCCCTGTGCTGTGTTGCGGGATGCCTGAGGTCCCAGTTTCTTAGAAGCTCTGTCTCCTAGAGCTCCTTCTTCCTTCAGAAGCACAATGTTGGCATTTGTGATGTTGGCATAGGACGCAGAACTCCGTGCTTAAGCAAAAGATCTTTCTCTTCTATGCTTCTTTATGAAACGCCAGGGTTATAAATCTTAGGGTGATTTGTTTGGCTTTTTCTGTTCTGCATTATTCATTGTTTATGACTCTCAATTCTGTGAGGCTAAACAACATGACTTTGCACTTGATTAAATAGCTGGGCCTCAGAAAAAAGAGAGAAGGTTCTGAGTGACTGAGGAGGGCCTTTGCAAGGAGCTCCTAAACTCTCTGAATAAAGCGAGGGAATACACATTACTATTTTATTGAATGTGTTTTAAGGGCTATTTAACATGAAGCTACTGCTCTGAAGATTATGAATAATAAGTAGATTGCTTGTTTTGGAAAAAAAAGTCTATAATTCTATAAAACTGGCTGAGTTAATGCACTAGAAACCTATTAAGCAGAAATCCTGTTGAACCAAAGTGTTGTTATTTCAACTAGCAATTCATGAAATAATTACTGTTTTTAGATGCTTGTTTTCCCCACCCCACCCCCAATACAGACACTCTTGTAGTCGGCATGAAAGGAAGGTGCTTTTGTGCTCACCGTGCGTTGATAATTGACTGACTGACAAGCGTGGAAGGAAGGCAGAAGAATGACAACACTGAGTAAGATAAAGTCATCCCCTGATCCTCTCCTACTACCTAGATTCTTTGATCCTGGATAATTCATTTCTTGAGATTTATCATTCTTAGGATAGTTTATCAAGGCTTTTGCCAGTTTTTGTTTATTTGTTCCTCAAGGCTTCTATCGAGAAATGTCAAAAGCATAATTCAGTATGTTCAATGGAGTAACTGGACATAAGCAAGCACAGGGGATGGCAGGTGAGCCCTAACTCTGGGACATGGGTCTGAAGGGAAATTTGCACAGAAGTCAGGCCCAAGCAGGGATTTGAAAGACCAGCTGAGAGTGCAGGTGGAAACCAGCTAAAGGGAGCACCATGTGCAAAAGACTCAAGCCTTTGGAAGCACTCGGTGAAGAACAGCCTCTCACCCAGCCAGGCTGACTACTGGACACAGCAATGAGCCCCGTCTCTAGCGGTCAGCCTTCTGCCCATCCTCCCTCCCCAGCGCTGTCTGTCTTGGCCTGTTCTCAGCGTTTTCTGCCCTCAGTGGTGATTCTTTCCCACATCCTCACGGAACTCTGCTACCTTCTTTTTTCTTGCCGCTTGCTTTACACGGCGGCGAGACACCAGCAGGAGAGTAAAGTGTAAAGGGTGAAAGTTCTGGTGTCTGTTCCTCATTCCCGCCCTTCTTTATCAAGAATTTCTGTAGTTTTTGTTGTTTATTTTATTTGCTTAATAGGTTTGGCCGTGCCTCC